AGAGCAAGTGCTAGGTATGTTGAATTGGGAGAAATAATAAAAATAATAATAATAATTAAAAATATAAATCAATATAAACTCTCGTAGAGACAACCCATTACAAGGCAAGGCTTCAAGAAATAATAGAAAAATTAAAAATACATTCACAAAATAGACACATATCTTAAAAATAGACACACTGTTCACTGTCTTAACACAGTAGTAGATTTTCAGAAGACTGGTAGATTTGATTAGCATTCAGATTGTATTGTATGATAGTAGGGATGTGCATTTAAAGCAAAAGTACTATTCGATAATCGTGGGGTACTAATCATTAATATTCGAATATTCGACAATAACTGCCGCCAGACTGCCCCCAACACCCACCGCTGCGGAAACAGATATAGATCCACGATTTTTCTCTTTCTTTTTTATTTTGACAGTGGATGCAATTCACAGCACAACATTATAGAACCGTTTTCTGTCTTTAATCCCATTAAACAAACAGGATATTATATACAATACAAAAGGTGCGTGTGCGGACCGGGTTTTCCTTCATAAATCACCCAATAATACCGTCGTCACGTCAAACAATTAACAAAGTGCGGAGACTTCAAACAATAATTATATAAATGTTGAACATTTTACTAAACATACCTGAGAGACAGCATTGCTGACGTGAACATTTTTTAACATGCTCGTCCTCATAATCCGAAAAATAGTTCAAGCCTAATCCAAGTTTTTATTCAGAAAGATCAGCATGTCCACATGCACGGGATGAAGACGGGAACGAAGTCTGTTTACAATAAGTCCCGCCGTGGAAAACATCCTTTCCGACGCCACATGGAACTTTTTGACGACTGCTGCAGTAATTTCTCCATCGTGTCTTCTCCAGTTTGTTAATTTTCTACGACTTGGCATGTAGCCCGCCACTGTGTATCGTCAAATGGTACGCTGCCCCCGTGCGGAAGCCGCCAGTAATACCATTTTTTCCCCCCTCCAGATATGGTACACTATTCGATTTTTTTATGATTTAACGACTATTCGAATATTCGAAAATCGATGCCCATCCCTATATGATAGTCCCTTTGTTGAACTGCCGCATACGTCATTTTACTGACGTAGGCAGATGACGTGTCCTGTGACTCGACAGCTGTTAGTTTACAACTTAGATTTGTTTTTTATTTCCATTATCAACCCGACGGACCATACATAATCTATTAGCTACCGTGAGACACACATGCGCAGGTTTGCCTTATATCATAAACAGCTGAGGCAGCTGTATGTTTGGTTTGTTTGCGTGTAGTAAACAGCTACAACTGCACCATCTGCTGGTGTACTGCTCTTTTGAGACACTCCTGGCGCAAGAGGTGTGTCAAAAGTTTTCTGTGTAAAACGAGAGCCTGCGCGTAGCTCTTATGGCGTGTTCAGACCGGATCATACGTTCCGTCGGGTTTCAATGCAAAGTCTATGGTGACGCGCGTTGCAACATCACAACGCACGGACCTCTCGCCACGCACGGATGGACTGTTCAGTAGACATGCACGGACTTGGCGGGAAAGTCAAAGGGGAGGAGCAGGAGCGAAAAATCGACGCCCACAGGAGATTGATTATGCTCATCCTTTCCTTGTGACGTTCGTGCGACAACCAATCAGAGAGCCGCAAAGTGGTCACGGGGACATTAGCGGAGTGAGCGAGCAGACTGAAAATACTCATAAACAGCCAAAACAGGACCCACACCAGGCTTCACCAGAACTCAAACCAGGGTTGACAATGGGGGACTTTACTTTACTTCACTGTAATGCTGTCACCTTACATTGTGTGCACCATGTGCACTTGTATATTGTATATAGTAATTTAACTCTATTTTAAATTTAAATTTATTGCTTAGAAGTGTTTTTTTATTCTTTATTTTTATTATCTCTCTCTGACTGTTGCACTGAGCCAAAGCAATTTCTAAGTCTGTGACTTCCTGTTACTTACGTGGCAATAAAAATGATTCTGATTCTGTATGTGTTGTCATGCTCCTGTGACCTTATGCAACTGCTTCGAGTGTGTTCACCGATGCGGAAATACCGTTTAATAGTATGAAAAAACGTATGGCGCACCTCCGTGAACACATACTACTGTTCTATAAAGTCCGTGGAAAGACAAGTTGCAAAGCTGCATATTGGAGAAGATCTGTACACAAGAAGCCGCTAGCATAGCTCTGTTAGAGCCGGCCGGCTACTTCCGGTACTTCCGGCTCGCGTCAGGACGTTCTGGTGTGAAGTCCTCTGCGTCTGAAAACAAGAGAATGCGCGTCTGGGGCTTTAGCGTTTGCGGTCTGAATGCACCATTAGGCTTTTTTACGTTCTTCTCTTCTTACAACAATGTTATTTACACACAGATTGTTCTGTTACAGATACAAATGTCAAGTTACACACACACACAAATCTGGGTACACACGCACACAGTCCAAGTTACGCTTGCGAATTTGCCAAGGCAGGACTGCGTCAAAAGATCTGTGTGTAAAAAAAAAAAAAAAAGACGCACATACAAATCTATTTACACACGCACAAATATTTTTTCTACACACACACAAATCTGGATACAAACACAATAATCTTTTTACACACACACAAATCTGTTTACGTATGCACAAATATTATTGAAACAATAATAGCTCCATTTCCTACAAGGCGTTTTCTACATGGAGGACACTTGGAGAGGGCTCTGAACCCGAGCAGTGTTCAATTGTTGGACTTTTGTGCTAGTCACAGTTTATCCATCACGAACACCATGTTCGAGCACAAGGGTGTCCACCAGTACACGTGGCACCAGGACACCCTAGGCCGCAGGTCGATGATCAACTTTATTGTCCTTTCATCTTAACTTCGGCCACGTGTCTCAGACCCTCGGGTGAAGAGAGGGGCAGAGCTGTCAACCGATCACCACCTGGTTGTGAGTTGGATCCGCTGGCAGGGGAGGAAGCCGGTCAGACCTGGCAGACCCAAGCGTGTAGTGAGGGTCTGCTGGTAACGTCTCGCTGATCCCCCTGTCAAGTGGACTTTCAACTCACACCTCCGTGAGAGCTTCTCCCAGGTCCCGGGGGAGGAGGAGGACATCGAGTCTGAGTGGACCATGTTCTCCACCTCTATCGCTGATGCGGCAGCTCAAAGCTGTGGTCGCAAGGTCTCTGGTGCTGGTCCCAGCATCGGCAGTAAGGGATGCCGTCAGGCTGAAGGAGTCCTATTGAGCCATGATGGATGGGTGGAGAGCTGCTGACCTCGACTGGGGATATTGTCGGGCGGTGGAAGGAATACTTTGAGGTTCTCCTCAATCCCCCCATCACGTCCTCCGTTCCGAAGGCTGAGGATGTTGGGGTGGATACTTCCATCTCCCTTTCTGAGGTCACCAAGGTGGTTGCCAGCCTCCTTGGTGGCAAGGCGCCGGGTGTGGATGAGATCCGCCCTGACTATCTACAGTCACTGGATGATTGTGAGATTTCATAACACTTTGAAGCAACTTTTGTTAAAGTTAAACTCATCATTCTATCAATGTGCAGAAGCCAGTACTTTTCCCTTGTTTTGTCTATCTGAAGGCCAAGCTACAAGCACACCGTGGAAGCTGCTGATTGGAGGTCTCCATGCCTCCGCTCTGTATAATACACTTGCATTCTCTTGTATCTGTGCTCGTGTGCTTTGTTCGTGCTGTCTCTACCATCGACAATAAAACATGTCTTCTGTCGGAATTTAAGACGCGATCCCAGACTTTGTCATCTTCTTCATGATGTAGGACTGACATTACTCTGCAACATCGTGTGGCGATCGGAGGCGGTGCCAGTGGAGTGGCAGACCGGGGTGGTGGTCCCTCTCTACAAGAAGGGGGATCGGAGGGTGTGTTCCAATTATTGGGGGATCATACTCCTCAGCCTCCCCGGCAAGGTCTATTCCAAGGCACTGGAGAGGAGACTTCGACCGATGTTCAGATCTCTGATTCAGGTGTGATTTTCGTCCCGTTCGGAGTCCACAGGATTCCATCTCTGTTGTTTGCAGACAATGTTGTCCTGTTGGCTCCAACGAGCCAGGACCTGCAACATGCGCTGGGAGGGTTTGCAGCCGAGTGTGAAGCGTTTGGGATGAGAATCAGCACCTCCAAATCCAAGGCCATGGTGCTCGAACGGAAAAAGATGCCTTGCCCTCTCCAGGTGGGTGGAGCAGTCCTTCCTCATGTGGAGGAGTTGTACCGGACCGTCGTGGTAAAAAGGGAGCTGAGCAGAAAGGCAAAGCTCTCGATTTTACCGGTCAATCTTCGTTCCCTCCTTCACCTATGGTCATGAGGTTTGGGTAATGACCGAAAGAACGAGATTGCGGATACAAGCTGTCGAAATGAGCTTCCTCCGCAGAGTGGCTGGGCGCTCCCTTAGAGATAGGGTGAGGAGCTCGGTCACACGGGAGGAGCTCGGAGTAGAGCTGCTGCTTTTCCACGTCGAGAGGAACCAGTTGAGGTGGCTCGGGCATCTGTTCCGGATGCCTCCTGGACGCCTCCCTGGGGAGGTGTTCCGGGCACGTCCCACCGGGAGGAGGCCCCGGGGAAAACCCAGGACACGCTGGAGGGACTGAGTCTCTCAGCTGGCTTGGTAACGCCTTGGTGTCACCCTGAACGAGCTGGAAGTCTAGGAAAGTCTGGGTGTCTCTGCTTAGACTGCTGCCCCCGTGACCCGGCAACGGATGAAACGGAAGAAAATGGATGGATTATTAATATTCAAATATATAAAACTAATTATTAATATTTTGACCAAAAAAGGCTCGTAATATCTCAGAGTATAAAAAAAAAGTTATAGTGGCTATTGTTTGGTCTACCAGTAGGCAGTGCCTCTAGGTAATCAATGCTGATTTTAGAAGAAACTCTGTCAACCCCAGTTCTTTTAACTAGATCTGATACTTATAATCCTATTTTAAGTATTTTAGTCCAAGAAATGAAAGGGGATAGATCAAGATACTCTACTCCCCTTCACAACTGTGCTTGTGGTGTGGCAGCGGTGGAGATCCTGGCTGACATCATCCAGAACAGCACTCTGGGGGAGGCGGAGATCGAGCGGGAGAGGGGTGTGATCCTGCGGGAGATGCAGGAGGTGGAGACCAACCTACAGGAGGTGGTGTTCGACTACCTCCACGCCACGGCCTACCAGACCACCGCGTTGGGACGGACCATCCTGGGCCCTTCTGATAACATCAAGTGAGGGCACACATCATGTTTGCACCCCTGCCCCTTTTGTTTATGCAAGCTTTTTTCTAACTTGTTATACTATGATGAATCTTCAGACTTTGGTGTTATTGACAGAGCAGTTTTAGCCCCTCACCTGATGCCTTGAATATTTATACTCTGTCTTAAGTTTGAGGAATTGTTCCATTCACATTGTTATTTTTTTGTTCAAATGTATTAGTTTTCTCCTTTTTTTAACAAGCAACAAGTTGGCACACATAGTGGGGCACATTACAATATTACAATACAACAAAACAATTTTACAACGTCTCAATTAGTTAAGATTTCAAAACTGTTTGATTTGGGCGGAACGGCGGCTAAGTGGATAGGACTCTTGCTTCTCAGCCAGAAGGTCCTGGGTTCGAATCCTGATCAGAACAGGGCCTTTCTGAGTGGAGTTTGCATGTTTTCCCTGTGAGTGTTGGTTTCCTCTGGGTGCTCCGGTTTCCCCTACCACTTAAAAGACCTATTGTTTCTGCTGCAGTTGAAACATGTAAGACATAGACCTGACTAAAACGATACATTGTACTTTTTAGTTGGACACTGAAGCAATAAATCTCAATTGAGATGCCAATTGATACCACTTGACATTGGGGACGTCCAAGCCTCCTTTTGAGCTAGGAAGCTGCAACCTTGACATTTTGAGCCTTGCTCCAAATAAAGATACTTAGCCAACTGTCAAGTAGTTTCAGTACCTTGTTTGACAACAATAAAGGAATCATCTGTAGGGGATGCAATAATCTGGGTAGCGCGTTCATTTTGATGACAGACTGACTAGCAGCAAGAGAAGGTTGGACTCCATCTCTGCAATCTTATTTATATTGTCTAGAAGAGGTGTAAAATTGGCACATTATGTTATTTCTAACTGCTGTATTTGTGTGCACTTGTGCGTTTGTATTTATGTGTGTAGAACTATAAACCGAGGCGACCTGGTGGAGTACATCACCACTCACTACAAAGGCCCCAGGATTGTCCTGGCTGCAGCCGGAGGTCTGTGCAGCGTCACCACTGCTCTCATTATATCATGTTTAACCTAATTGTATAAAAAAAAATTATCTCAGGAAAACAGCCACATGGTTTACTTGATTATAAACTCAAAACAGACACTCAAAACAGAAATAATAGATTAGAATAGAACTTTATTGTCTGTTTCAAGATAAAAAGATCATCTTGTAAAATGCCTCTCAAATGCTTACATATTTGCCATGTAATTTATGTATTATTTATTTATTTATTTGAGCATCTGTTAAAGAACATGCACAATATTCAACTTGCAAGAGTTGGCTAATTGCAAAAAAATAATGGACATTTGAAATAATTGGCATCGTCCACAGAGCACATTATAATTATAATATCCATGACCCCTGTCTTCTCCTCAGTGCTTGAGTGAAATGCCTCTGTGTTTCAGGAGTGTCCCACAGTGAACTCATAGACTTGGCCAAGTATCACTTTGGGAAACTCCCGGGTCGATATGTGGGAGACGCCCCTGCTCTGCCGGAGTGCACCTTCACCGGCAGCGAGGTGTGCCCCTTTAACAACTCCATCCATGTATATGGATTGAGAACGACAGAGAAGTGAAAGGGAATATAAGGTGGTATGAATGTTTTCTTGAATGGGCAGAAGCTAGAAGAAGTGGATGTGTTTAACCCTTGTGCTACCCTCAGGTCAAAATGACCTGCCACAGTGATTAAAAGTAGTCCCAGGTCTGGTCAAGTTAAGAAAAATCATCAAAATTCAGCTCCAAAACTATCTTTTGGGTATTTTCTAATCCCTGCGGTGGGTCGATTTAATCCGAGGATAGTTTAAGGGTCAAGTTTTTGGGTTCAAATGAAAGTGGAGATGGAAGCTGTGTCAGGGTGAAAATGTGTTTGTATGAAAAGGTGGTTGTGCCGACTGTTGTATGGTGCAGAAACATGGGGAATGAGAGAAAGTAAAAGGAAGAAATTGAATGTGTTTGAAATTAAATACTTGAAGTATGATAGGTGTGAATAGCTGTAACAGTTACGGAGCGAACAAGTGTGTTAGGTCACCTGGTTGGTAAACCAGATGCATGTGTACCGAGATGGTATGGGCATATGCCATGGATCTATGGCATATGCAGAGAATGAATGAAGGAGGCGGATTGTGGTATACCTGAAGACCTCAATCACTGTCTTCGAGGGTTCAGCTCACAGGTTATTACCACTGCACCAAGACACCAGCCGGTCTACTTCCCTCCTGTAAGTAGACTCATCGTTGTCAGATATACGTCCATTGAGGGTGGTGTCATCCGCATACTTGATCAGCTTCACAGACCAGACCTTCTGTAGTGTATATTGTGACCTTCAGACCTTCTGTTGTGTTTTGTGTGTCCTTCAGATCATCAATAGTGTATTGTGTGTCCTTCAGACCTTCTTCAATGTATTGTGTGTCCTTCAAACCTTATATATTGTGTTGTGTGTCCTTCAGACCTTAGTGTATTGTGTGTCCTTCAGATCCGGGTACGGGATGATAAGATGCCACTGGCTCACATCGCTCTGGCTGTGGAGGCGGTGGGTTGGTCTCACCCCGACACCATTCCCCTCATGGTAGCCAACACGCTTATCGGCAACTGGGACCGTTCCTTTGGAGGAGGAGTGGTGTGTATTTGTCTTGTGGCTCATTATTATTATAGCACGCTTTTAAATCTATTGATCTCAAAGATGTAATGTAAGAGCCCGCAAACGTGTGGATTTGTTCCGCCTTATCACTCTGCACTTTACTTTTACGGTTAATGTGGTCCGCTCAGCAGTGTTGTGCCAGTTCACAACTTTTCTGAACTAGTTCAAGTTCAGTTCATACATGCTCAAAGTAAACAGTTCACGTTCAAAGTTCACAATTTTTATTGTAAACTAGTTCAAAGTTCAGTTCATTTTACTTTTTGCGTGAGATATTCAAATAAATACTTTTTTTCACTATGAGCTAGAAATCACTATATGTGGTATATATACAGTATGTATATATAATCTATAATCCTAAACACTGCACAGGATGTTTTGACTCCAAAACAGACAAGATTTACATGGGTTTCAATGGGAACTGAGTTGTCCCATCTCTGCTCATAAGTACTACAAATTGTAATGCGCTGCAGTGCGTGTGTCTATACTTTATGTCAAATGTAAACGGCCTTGTGTCACTGACTTACCCCTGTGTATTCATCACGGCACATGTGAGTCCAACAACCAATGAATAGCACTAGCATACAGCGCCGCACCGCAAGTAGAAACACGGAGTTGGGGTGCGTTCACAGACGGTGGAAACCGTAGGAATTTTTAGTTTTCGGCGGAAAAAGTGCAGAGAATAGAGAAGGAAGGAACTTTCCCTTGTTGCATTTCAAAAGAGAAAACGAATATCACTCAGTTTTCAATGGAAAACAAATCGTCTGCCGTTCATGACACATAATATGAACTAATTCACGTTCAAGTTCTTTATTAAAAAATGTGTTGCGTTCAGTTCAACGTTGACAAAACAATGAGCGTGTTCAATGAACCCGTTCTTTTGAACTTGTTCACGCACAACACTGCCGGCGCACATTTCATACTGGGGATAACTCTAAATGCTTTACAAAACAAGAAGGGGAACATTATAATAAATCATAAACGGTAACAAAATAATTAATGTTTCTAATTTAAATGTGTTTTGTTCCTGTGCTTGTTTTCAGAACCTGTCCAGCCAGCTGGCTCAGATGTCCTGTCAGGGAAACCTGTGCCACAGCTTCCAGTCCTTCAACACCTGCTACACCGACACAGGCCTATGGGGGCTCTACATGGTGTGTGAGCCGGGGACCATTGCCGACATGATGCACTACACTCAGATGGAATGGTGAGTCCAAGAATCCTCCTAAGGGCTGAGGAAAGCTGTTTGTGTTCACATTGAAGTCTATGGGTCAAGGCCATAAACTTATCTCAAAGACAGGAGTTTTGTTAAGACTTATGGGGTGTTCAGACCGCCGATGCTTGAACGCAATTTCCACGTACACTGGACGCTCATTCTCTAAATTTCAGACGCTAAGGGTATTCAGACTAGAGGTCCTGGCATGAGGTGGCGCCCAGCAGAAGTGGCGGAAGGGCTTTGATGCTAGCAGAGTTAAGCTAGCGGCTTTTTTGTTCTTCTCCACAATTTCAGCTCTGCAGCGTCTCTGTGTCAAGGACCTTCTAGAGACTTTTATTTATATATATATATTGTAGGGGTTATTGAAGTTGATATCACACATAAATTAAGTTACTTATTTGATATCGGAAAATTGGGTCGAATCAATCTTGTAGTAAATACAATAATTGATAATAGCTTTATTTTGAGGGAACCAGTGAATAAATCACAACGTGTAATGGATAACGTGCACGTATGACGTCACGTTATCTATTAACTCATTGCCTGCCAGCCTATTTCAGAACAGGTACTCCCATATTGCCAGCAGTTTCTGATGATTTCTATTGATTTTTCAAGACCCACACAATATTTTGTACAATGACTGTCTGAAATTCGAACCCAGATTCTGAAAGAATGGACTGTCTACATTCATCAGAAAAAAGATGAAAGTAGACATTTTTATTTCAAGCTTGTTTCGTTCCCCTGCAATCCCCCAGTCAAGTAGAGGGAAGTTTTACTGAAATCACCAGTCTCAGACAAAAAGCTGAGAAAACGTTGCTTATGTGAAAATGACCACACATGCAGAAAAGTGACTTTGACAAAAATGTTTTACTTAATTTTTTTTAAACTTGTGAACATTGTTCCCTCCAATAAAACAACAAAAACAAAACATAAAAGGGCTTTTAATTGAAAAATAATGTTTTAGAGTATACAAGTTCACAAAAAAAGACAACAAATTAGAAATGACAGTAAACGCTATATACAAAGGGGGTGGGGTGTGTGCGTGCGTACGTGTGTGTGTGTGTTCACACAGTGTAGTTTTGTTTGGTGTGGTAGGCGGTAAAGCCCTCACCTGGATGTAACGGGACACGACAGGACTTGCACCACAGCCTATGCATCAGGGGAGCACTCTCTGCAGCTTGCAGATGGGAGCCATTCTGAAGAAGAATCCAGGTCTGGCTCTGAGAGTCCTTCAGAACTGCTCTCGGCGCGTCTCGACAAAACACGGCCTCTCCATCCAGCTGCGGGCTGAGCGCTGCATGCACAGTAGCACCAGTAGCGCACTTTTCTGCAGCATTTTTGGGCTGCTGTGGCTCCCCCCTCTCCACTATCAGCTGAACAAACGCTCTTCTTGGAACTACCAACTAATCAGCACAAATATCACTTTCAGACAAAGATGGTTTTGTAGATTTTATGCAGTATATACAATACAGATTAGATATTAAATATGCATATTGTCAAGAATAACATGAAGAAAACGCTGATTACAAGACACGTGGCCTGTGCTTAGCACCTTTTATGACTCACACACCCAGCACACGCTGCCGTGTGCTGGGCCCCGGGCAGCACAGAACGGGACAGGAACAGACTGAACAAGCTGGTCAGGAGGGCCAGCTCCACTCTGGGCTGCTCCCTGGACTCTGTGGAGGAGGTGAGGGACAGGAGGGTGCTAGCCAAAGCCACCTCCATCATGAAAAATACCTCCCACCCACTGCACAGGACTGTAGAGGAGCTGAGGAGCTCCTTCAGTGGAAAACTGAGACACCCTCAGTGTAAGAAGGAGCGCTACCGCAGGGCCTTTATCCCCACCGCTGTCAGACTGTACAATAACTCACTTTAAGTCACTGTATAAGACTGAAAAAAAACCTGCACTACTACTGACACTATATCTGATTGCCACTTTAAATTGCCACTTTTATTGTACATATACAGTGTATATACAAAGTATTCGACCCCCTTGAACCTTTCAACATTTCGCCACATTTCAGGCTTCAAACATAAAGATATAAAAATTAAATTTTTTGTCAAGAATCAACAACAAGTGGGACACAATCGTGAAGTGGAACGAAATGTATTGGATAATTTGAACTTTTTTAACAAAGAAAAAACTGAAAAGTGGGGCGTGCAATATTATTCGGCCCCCTTGCGCTAATACTTTGTAGCGCCACCTTTTGCTGCAATTACAGCTGCAAGTCGCTTGGGGTATGTCTATCAGTTTTGCACATCGAGAGACTGGAATTCTTGCCCAAAACAGCTCAAGCTCAGTGAGGTTGGATGGAGAGCGTTTGGGAACAGCAGTCTTCAGCTCTTTCCACAGATTCTCGATTGGATTCAGGTCTGGACTTTGACTTGGCCATTCTAACACCTGGATACGTCTATTTGTGAACCATTCCATTGTAGATTTGGCTTTATGTTTTGGATCATTGTCCTGTTGGAAGATAAATCTCCGTCCCAGTCTCAGGTCTTTTGCAGACTCCAACAGGTTTTCTTCCAGAATGGTCCTGTATTTGGCTCCATCCATCTTCCCATCAATTTTAGCCATCTTCCCTGTCCCTGCTGAAGAAAAGCAGGCCCAAACCATGATGCTGCCACCACCATGTTTGACAGTGGGGATGGTGTGTTCAGGGTGATGAGCTGTGTTGCTTTTACGCCAAACATATCGTTTTGCATTGTGGCCAAAACGTTTGATTTTGGTTTCATCTGACCAGAGCACCTTCTTCCACATTTTCGGTGTGTCTCCCAGGTGGCTTGTGGCAAACTTTAAACAAGACTTTTTATGGATATCTTTGAGAAATGGCTTTCTTCTTGCCACTCTTCCATAAAGGCCAGATTTGTGCAGTGCACGACTGATTGTTGTCCTATGGACAAACTCTCCCACCTCAGCTGTAGTTATCTGCAGTTCTTCCAGAGTAATCATGGGCCTCTTGGCTGCATCTCTGATCAGTCTTCTCCTTGTTTGAGATGAAAGTTTGGAGGGACGGCCGGGTCTTGGTAGATTTGCAGTGGTCTGATACTCCTTCCATTTCAATATAACTGCTTGCACAGTGCTCCTTGAGATGTTTAAAGCTTGGGAAATCTTTTTGTATCCAAATCCGGCTTTAAACTTCTCCACAACAGTATCTCCGACCTTCCTGGTGTGTTCCTTTGTCTTCATGGTTCTCTTTGTGCTTTAAACAGAACCCTGAGACTATCAAAGGGCAGGTGCATTTATACGGAGACTTGATTACACACAGGTGCATTCTATTTATCATCATCAGTCATTTAGGACAACATTGGATCATTCAAAGATCCTCATTGAACTTCTGGAGTGAGTTTGCTGCACTGAAAGTAAAGGGGCCAAATAATTTTGCACGCCCCACTTTTCAGTTTTTTATTTGTTAAAAAAGTTTTAATTATCCAATAAATTTCGTTCCACTTCACGATTGTGTCCCACTTGTTGTTGATTCATGACAAAAAATTTAAATTTTATATCTTTATGTTTGAAGCCTGAAATGTGGCAAAATGTTGAAAGGTTCAAGGGGGCCAAATACTTTCGCAAGGCACTGTAATATATCAATAGGGGAATTCTCCGTTATCATGGTTGGGGTAACAGTAGCGGCCAGAGTTATTCTCAAACATTGGAAAGCACCAAACGTCCCACAAATTAAGGAATGGGCAAATATGAAAAAAAAAAGGCCTCATGAGTGCATGTTGAATAGGCTAAAGAATAGGGGCAGAGATACATACAGTCTGGGACACATTCTGGTCATACATTATGTCACAGGTTTAAAAGTGTCTGTTAAGGGGGTGTGATCAATAAAAAGCAGAAGGGGTAAAAAGGGGATAAATTTATAACATATTTACAAAAAGATCCAATTAAAAGATGATAAAAGCCCAGAGTCGCTCGTCCGTCCCCACTGGCCTCCGCTCTTCTCTGTCCCGGGACCGGGCCGCAGTCCCGCCAGCCACTCGCCGACCACGGGTTGCCACTGGGCACCCGCGGGGGAGAGCCGGCACATCCCGGTCATCAGTGGGCCTAGCCCGGGTGCGCACGCGCCTTCATGCGCTTTCAATGCGCGCCCCATTCACCGGTGCCGCTCTCCCCGCTGGCCTCAGTCCCCCGTGGTCTCTGGCTGGCGGCGTTCGTCGCTAAAAATGTACACTTTTTGGCATTTATCAATCTGGACGTGAGCGTACAATATATACACCAAGTCAGGAGGTGGTGTAAATGTGTACGCTCATTTCCACCTTCATTACAACACACCAAAACACGCATGAAATACAAGATTAGGACAACAATAAACATAATCCCACTCTGGCAAAATTATAAACTGCGTTTTCATTGAGCATAAAGTTTCAAAATTTGAATTTGCGCATCTGAAAAACACTCTCTAACATTTCATCTAAACATTTCTAATACATCACAGTTCATGATGCGTTCATGATGAGGACCCTATTCTGTTTCTTCGTTTTTAAATCTGACTTGTGTGTGTATTGTTTTCATCTGTATGTTTTTTTATTTTTAATGTGAAGCGCTTTGTGATCCTGCTCTGTGAAGGCGCTATAAAAATACACCAGGCTTACTTACTTATGGCGCGTTCAGACCGGATCATGCGTTGCGTTCGCGTTTCAATGCAAAGTCTATGGTGACGCGTGTTGCAGCATCACAACGCACGGACCTCTCGGCACGCACGGACGGACTGTTCAGTAGACACGCACGGACTTGGCGGGAAAGTCAAAGGGGAGGAGCAGGAGCGAAAAATTGAAAAAAATTGGAGATGGATTCTGCTCATCCTTTCCTTGGGATGTTCGTGCGACAACCAATCAGAGAGAAGCAAAGTGGTCACGGGGACATTAGCGGACTGAGCGAGCAGACTGAAAATACTTGTAAACAGCCAAAACAGGACCCACACCAGGCTTCTCCAGAACTCAAACCAGGGTTGACAATGGGGGACTGTGTGCTTGTGAAAATATGCGTTGTCATGCTCCCGTGACCTTATGCAACTGCTTCGAGTGTGTTCACCGATGCGGAAATACCGTTTAATAATATGAAAAAGCGTATGCCGCACCTCCGTGAACACATACTGCTGTTATATAAAGCCCCTGGAAAGTCTCTGTTCAAAGACACGCTGCAAAGCTGCATATTGGAGAAGATCTGTACACAAGAAGCCGCTAGCATAGCTCTGTTAGCATCAGAGCCGGCCGGCTACTTCCGGTACTTCCAGTTTGCGTCAGGACGTTCTGGTGTGAAGTCCTCTGCGTCTGGTGAGCGGGGCTCCAGCGTTTGAGCGTTTGCGGTCTGAATACACCTTTAATGTGTGACCATCTATTTCTTCGTATCTGTGGCAGACCCTGCGTAATTACGCATGGCTATTTGTTTTGTCTCATTCACCTCTGGCAAAGCAACATATGTTTTCATTAGTTTTGCGCATACGCAGCGATGGCAGAGAAAAGCGCTTTTTATTGTGCGAACGGGCTGTGTAGAAGGTGCCACAGAGGTCCCACAGTGAGACTCATACTAGGGATGTAAGTAAGTAAGTAAGTAAGTAATCTTTATTTATATACCGCCTTTCACAGACCAGAGTCACAAAGCGGTTTACAATTGTTAATTATGGGCATTTGTCTCTCACTCCACACAGAGATGGGAGGGGCCAGTACAGGAGGCGCATGCCAGAACTATTGTACATATTTTTAGTGGTAGGGGAAACCGGAGTACCCGGAGGAAACCTACGCAGACACGGGGAGAACATGCAAACTCCACTCAGAAAGGCCCTGGTCCGGCCGGGATTCGAACCCAGGACCTTCTTGCTGAGAGGCGAGAGTGCTATCCACTCAGCCACCGTGCCGCCCACGGCATGTAAATAACTATGAATTTTCATGACCGACCACCGAGCCTCATTAACCGGTTGAAACCGGTTAACCGCGTAGTTAAAAATATTCCACGTTCTTTGAAATAACAGCCATTTAGAGCCGCGTACTTTTCATAAGTGCAGCTCTGCGTTCTACTTGATCAGAACCGAGACAGCGGCGCCAAAACCCGCAACAACTTTGGTACCTTTGCGCACAGAGAACTGCTTTTTTAATCTTTCCATACTTCTGCTAAAAATTGTTAACCAGCAGCACAGCACACAACGGCTCGTTCACATGGTCAGAGCAGCGAGTGACGAGCCGCGTCTCGCAGATCTCCGCTAAAGTTTAAATAAAGTGATGTGTGTGGAGCTGATCTAATGCCAAGGACCAGCAGCACAAACATGTTCCCATGTGATTTGACTGGAGCCGCGTATTTGGATACTTTGGGCTGTGTGACACAGAGGAGCGCGACAGACCGGTATGTGTGTGTAAATGTAAGCTCCAATGTAGTTCTAACCCGCGCTAGTGTGGAACTTTGGCGGACAGAGGTGGAGAGATGATGCGTGTGGATGTTACGTATCATTGGAGGGGGGAAAGTGTGTGTGTGTGCACACGGCATGAGAGTCGGCCCGGAGTTTACTGATACATTGGCGCACACAGCTAGAGACAGACCCGCTCGCCACACCGTGCAAATAGGGCTTAAAATAACGTTGTTAAGAGACCTCCTCGTCCCCCTTTTCTTTTTTTTAACCGACAGCTTTGACCTGTTAACGCTGTGACGGTCAACCACCGGTTAAATGGTCACCGATTTACATCCCTAACTCATACGGATCCTTTCTCTCTCATCGCTCCATTGCATTCATAAAAAGATGTCGCTGACGCTTCACCCAGATGAGTCACCGCTGAGATATTAATATTCATTCATTCATTTCTAAAGAGATGAGTGCAACCAAGGAATTGTTTTCCGTATGGACGTCATGGGTCGAGGCAACGTGTTGTTTGTTATATTTGCAACAGCTGAGGCAGCAGCTGCAGAGTGACTGACAGTGCATCTGACCAATCAGAATTGACGTTCGCCGACGTCAGATTGTTTTGGCGGCCCGGCTAGTGGAGGGAAGTCGGCCTTTACTATGGGTCAGAACTATATAGGGAATGAATGGCAGCGCTACCACCGAGGCGTTTTTGACGCTTGTCGTGTGAAAGCCCGAGAGCCGCACGGAACCAGCCAAAGAGCCGCATGTGGCTCACGAGCCGCTGGTTGGCCACCCCTGGTCTAGACAATAGGGAAAAAACGCTCTATATATAATTTAGAGGGTTTTTCTTTTTTTGACAAAATAATACAATTAAACTCTATATAAACTCAGTGCGTGTCACTAACAGGCCTTGTCAAGCTTCCAACTAGACTTGCTGGCCGGCTTCCATGAGCTGTCGTGAAAACGGGCCGTTTTCTGAATATTTCTAGGCATGACTTTCATAAATACGCTGGTTTTCACCGCTGCATTTATCAACAGCCGCGTATGCGTATGCTCAGATCTGTGCGTATCTCACACGTTCATAAATCCCTCGTTCAGTCTGGCGTAAATGAAATATACATAAAAAATATACACTGTTTTCTGCGCAACTTTCATAAATGAGGGTCAAAAGGAGAAAACATAATATGATCTCAACCACTCAATTCCAATCATTATTTTTGTGTTTATATATTTTCTGTTGCCTTGTATAATGGCCCCCAGCCATGTCTGTCTGAAAGTATACATATGTATAATTGCCATATATTCATAATGAGTGTCAACTGTGTTTTTTAATGTACCAAGAAAATAAAAACTTCAATAAAAACTTTTAATTACAAAAAAAAGAAACCATGTCAGTCCGGGCCGGGCTGGGGAGCCACCCCCTTGGGGAAGGGCCGGGCTCGGGCACCGATAATAGGCCTGTGCAGTCTTCTCAGGAAGAAAGTCTGCTCTGACCTTTCTTATAGATAGCATTGGCCTGAACTGACCAATCCAGTCTGTGGTCCAGGTGGATTCCCAGGTATTTGTAGGATTGAACCACTCTGTTGATGGGAAGGGCTCCTGTGAAAGTCAAATGATCATTTCCTTGGTCTTGGTCATTGAGAATAAGACCATTTCTCACACTCCATGCCGCAAATGGCGAAATGGCTCGCTCTCTGCCAAAATAATTTCCAAGTGGTAACTTTTGTTACTTACTTTGCAATAAAAATGATTCTGATTCTGAGAAGGCAGCCACCACCTCCCTGTACTCTGCTTTATCTCCCCCCTTCACACATGCCACAACAGCGTTATTGTCCGAGTATTTTTGTACACGGTATGTAGCGGAGTTGTGTGCAAAGTCTGCAATGTAAATTGTGAAGAGGAAGTGAGCAGAACTTGGCTCCCCTCCTCTTCACAATTCCCAGACACGCTCTTCCCTAACCTGACACTGTGAGGTAACAGTGAGGTAACTGTAAATCCAATTTGTAAACATGGAATAAACTCCAATTTCTCCCTCAGTAAGAGAGGTTGGATACTGTTAAATGCACTGGAGAAGTTGAAGAACATCAGCCTCACTTAGCCTCCAGGGCCATCCAGGAAAGACACGGATCGATGGAGCATGTAGAGGACCGCGTCATCCACTCCCATGTTCTCCTGATAGGCAAACTGCAGGGGGTCAAGAGCCTGCTCCACCTGTGGCATGAGCAGTGGGAGTACTATCTTCTCAAAAGTCTTCCTTATGACATATTTTAGGTCCACTGGTCTGTAGTCCTCGCATGTGTATCTGAATGATGATGAGTCAGCTAGTGGTTTACTAGTGACACACGTCACTAGTATGTAACATTGACCACATTTTCATTTGAAAAATTAACTCCCCTTGTCCTATCCTCAGGTGAAATTGACCCACCACAGTGATTAAAAAATAACCAAAATAGTTTTTTCCTTCTACTTTTATTCACTGTGGTGGGTCAAGTTTTTTTTTTCTCTTCCATCCATCCATTTTCTTCCGCTTAATCCACGGGGGCAGCAGTCTAAGCAGAGACGCCCAGACTTCCCTATCCACACACAGCTCCAGCTCGTCCGGCCAGCTGAGAGACATAGTCCCTCCAACGTGTCCTGGGGCCTCCTCCCTCCTCCCTCTCTTGTTACTTTTATATACTGTACTTGGCAGCCTGCAAGGCCAGTGATTTCACCATGTTTTGTTTGACATCAGCCAAGGGGACAGAGTGATTGAAATAAGTGTATTTACTTCAGGATGTCCCTGTGCACCAGCGTGACGGAAGCTGAAGTGGCCAGGTCCAAGAACCTGCTGAAGACCAACATGCTGCTGCACCTGGACGGTGAGAGCATCTGCTTCTGTGTCCCCCAGACTGTAACCTCAGACAGATACTGTCCTTTTGTATCCCTGTGTCCCTCTTTCCTGTTTCACTGTGTCCTTTGTCCAGGCTCCACCCCAATTTGTGAGGACATCGGCCGACAGATGCTCTGCTACAGCCGCAGGATCCCTTTGCACGAGCTAGAGGCCCGCATTGATGTGAGTTTAGCACCACATTAATAGTAAAGATCTCACATGAGTCATCTTGAAATGAAGCGCAAAGATCAAGTCTGAATGGAAATCCCAGGCTCCCCACAGCAGGTCCCACCTGACCCCTTACTTACAGCACCAGGTCCCTCAGTCTCCCTCATGCACACTGGTCGTCTGCTCTCAGGACCATGTGGACTCCCTCTCCAAATTCTTAAACACTGAACAGTCGTAGCTAAAATGAATGCAGTAGCTGAAGCAGATGTCACAGGAATAAGGCTCAGGTTCCGGCGTGTCTTTTAGCGAGACACTTCACCCACAGCTCAACAGTATCATTGCCTCTGCTTTATCACTGCACTGCTACATGTCTGTTGTGTGTACTTGGTGAACTTACATATATATACACACACACATACATATATAGTGTTCTAAAGTGTATATATGTTCTGAGATTTGAAGATCTGAAGAGCAAATCTCTTCTTCTTCCGCCTTCGTCGAGCAAAGACGTGTCTCAGACCGCTCCTGCTTCTGACTGCTTGCTATCTCCTGTTTTTGTCTTTTTCCTGGGGTTTTGCCACAGACAACTTTAACAAGAATGGAAATGATTAACTGGTCCCTCAACGCAATTGATTCTATCTTTTCAACACGTAAGCGAGGGTCTGGAGAGCCCGTGTGCCCGGACGGGACTTCACCAGCTGGAACAAGTTTCAGCCCCTCTGTCTGTCGACCCTGTCTATTGAAGATTCGGAAGACGTATATATCTTTGGCATTTTGGTGGTGGGGATCCGCCTGTTTGGGTTTGGAGCGGTCCTCTTCTACCGCAAATTCGGAGGCATGGCAGTTTGCAAGATTCACGAGCTGCTGACCAACAAAATTGATGGGATGTACAAGGAGCTACACTCTCGTGGTTGAGAGTGCCGTGTCTGGACAAAGGAGAGTTGTGTTGGTGGAACAGTTGATAAAAGACCTCGCAGCTCGTTCACTCGAAGGGAATAAAACATTGGAGATGAGATTGAATGACATTGTGTGTCAGGCTTGAACTCTCTGACCCGGCTTGGATTTGCCCCTGTGTACGGAGGTCTGAGGGCGCCGCAATTCGGTTTAATTGGATTTAATAGAATATCTGCCTGCTTTTGACTGCTACATTGCATATAATATTGTCCCTCTCAAGCGATGTGTTTTTCTCCTGCTGTGTCTTCTCTCCACTCTTATCTCACATTCCTCTGCCAAGGCCATAAATCAAGGTCCCCATCTACTTTTATTTATTTATTTATTTATTAAAGGGACTGTGCATATTAAAATACATTATGCATGTAAATATGCCAGAATTAGCCAAAAGGCTATTTTTCATCTGTAGTTAAGTGTTGTTAAGTGTCCTCCTGAAGGGAATAAAATTAAACATATCACAAACATATACAACAACTCACACTATTCAGTCTCCAGCACGGATAGCCCTATAGCCCTAATAGTAGTTAGGGCTTCAAAAGTAGTTAGCTCGAAGGACATTACACAACCGTTGAATTTGCAACAGCGATCAGGCAATCAAACGGTTCAAACACAAGAAATGCAAACATAAACACATTGTAGTTGGTCCATAAGGGGCGGATGACTGCAGATGTCCATAAATGCGAATAAATATCCATAAATGTGACTTCCTGTTCCTTACAATGGCAATAAAAATAATGATGATTCTCCTGAAAAGGCACCTCACCTCACCACAACACATCATACAAGGCTCTTTCTCCTGATTATGGTTAAAAACCTGTCCTCTCCTCAGGCCATCGACGCCACAACCATCAAAGACGTTTGTACCAAATACATCTACAACAAGGCTCCAGCCATCGCTGCAGTCGGTGAGTGGACCAATATACACACACTTGTATTTATGAAATGTAAACTACATCTATACAGTGAGGTTTATGAATGGTGAGGCACAGACCTTTTTAGCCCGATTTAAGAAACAATAACAAAAAAAGACAAAGACATGTTAAATAGGACTACATTATTTTATTCTGAGGCTTCCTTCCCGGCTAGCATTGTTTTTGCACGGTCCACAATCACAACTCAGAATTGCATCAAACACATGAGCAACACATTTATCACAAGAGGGTACAAGTGATGTGCAAAGATCAAATTAAGTTAATTTAATGGTTTTGTTAGGTCGCCGACTATAACTTTACAATTAATGGTGTCTCAGATTACTACGTTATGAGTCATAGGACAAAATCAAATATACTCACACAAACAGCCTTATAATCACACAATATTATATTTTATTGGCTAAAATTGTAATCACCTTGTAAGGACATTTTGCAAATACAATAATTTGAATTATCAAATCGTAAAGGACAGCCATTACACACACAGAATTTGCTAAATAAAAACTAATTTATTTTATTACATTATTTTCTTCACAGGACTTAAAGGAATAGTTCACCGTTTTTACATACTGACATATGTTCTTACCTTACCTTAGACTAGTTAATACGTACCTGTCTGGTCTTAGTCCGTGCGCTCTGTCATGCAAACGGAGCAAAAACGGGAGCACAAACGCAGCCTCCTCAGATAACTACGCCTTACAATATAGTACCCGTTTTATCCGCTGAGAAAATCGACTGTTACATTTCTGTGTTACTATACTTTGCAGTGTAACACGTCACGTAACTATATACATTTAATAGGGAACACTTGGAAGAGTTTGGTAGCTTCTAGCGGGAGCTACCTTTTGGTCCTACACAGTATACAGAGGAGGCTGCGTTTGTGCTCCCGTTTTTGCTCCGTTTGCATGACAGAGCGCACGGACTAAGACCAGACAGGTACGTATTAACTAGTCTAAGGTAAGGTAAGACCATATGTCAGTATGTAAAAACGGTGAACTATTCCTTTAAGGCCAGGCGTAAAGTGGATTTTAATAGCATAAATCACATATGGGACATGGAGAGATTAAAGACCTAGGATTTGCTCCATCCAATGTCTGTATTTGAAACTAGCAATTGTGCAAGGGCTGAAGCTGTTGCAGGGACTAGTCAGTCAAATTACACTACTACACGATGTTTAGGGTCCAGTCGTGGGGGTGGTTTTAGTGCAGTTTTTGGGTTCGGCCTTTGGTAATGTATTGAATAACGCGTACCAAGGACCAAGACCAGGGTTCAGACTGAGTCCTAGTGATTGAGGTAGCCCCCACATGATCCTAAACCGGTTAGAACCTATTGGGCCTCATTCACCAATATCTTCTTAACGACTGGAGAAGAAATTTAAGAAGATTCTTAAGTAGATTTCTAAGAAGACCCTACGTGGGATTCATCAACGCGCTCGTAAGCCGCTGAATTGTTTGCAGCTGTTCTCTTAGATTGATGAATGCCAACTCTTCGTAAGTTGAGCGCGCGTGCCCGGTGCTTCATTAGCATAGGTACTTTGCATAGGTAACCGCCCATTAATGCCCATAAAAGGGACTGCAGGGCCGTGTGCAGACGCCAGAGAAAACAGCAACATGCTAACGCAAAGAGTTACACGGAGCAAAAGAGTCACCATTTTTTCTTCTTTTGCCTGACTGAGAATAAAGTCATAAAATGTTGACTTTAAAGTTGAAATATGAGAATAAAGTCGAACTAGCAAAATCATGAGATTAATCTAAAAATATGAGATTAATAAAAAAATATATTATGTTTTAATTTAAATTTAAAATCTCAAAATATTTTGGACCCTGGGAGGAGATCCAGCATGGACTATAGCGCTGAGACCAATGCAAACCCGAGACTGGAGAGACCAGCGCGGACCGAGGAGAGACCGCATAGACTCAATACATATTAAAAAAGGTTAATTATTGCATTTTCTAGTTCCCAAATCCAGTTATTATAATATATATTATATGTCTTATAAGCAATGAAAAACACACAAATGGTCATTTTTGTATATTGCTGTGTGCCTGAAAATGCAAAATAGCCTTTTTTCGATTTTCCATTTCCCTTCAAAAATAGAAAAAAACATTTTCTATTCAATAGAATAGAAAATGTATTGAACGCAAAAGTACACGGACCGAGTATTTTTTGTTCAATCGTTTTTTCAAATTAAAGTGGCAAATTAAACATCAAAAAATGGCTTGAAAATACAGTTGAGCTCCACAAAACGAGTCCAAGAATCCTTAAAACAAGTAAAATGTCCTGTTCCGTTGCTTTGCCTATGCATGCTCCTGCTTTCTGCTGTTCCCATCCGGACAAAAATAATGGTGCACAGCCTTTGGCCCATACTTCCTGTTGCCCCAAAACGAAAATCAAATCGGCATCAAAGCAAATCCGTGTACCCTTCGATCATTAGTTATTCCGTTTCAAAATAAAATCAGAAAATCAAAATTTCCATTCGTTTATTGTTCTTTTCCTTTTCTAAACTTGAATAAAAAAATAAATCCTTTATAATCCGTGTAAATCCGTGTACCCTTCAATCATTAGTTATTCCGTTTCAAAACAAAATCAGAAAAACAAATTTTCCATTCGTTTGTTATTTTCCTTTTCTAAACTTGAATAAAAAAAAAAAAAACCTTTATGCTTCAATATCAATGTGTTTGTTTTGGCTCTAGTTGTTTAAAATTCTCAAAAGAATTATGGCATTACTATTATTTCGTTTTATTATTATTTGCAAGACCGGAAGAGAGAAGAGACCTCGCGGAAGGGGGGCTACAGACGCGGGGGTGGGACTCCCCTGGTCCCAAGCTACCTGCGGTGTGAATTTGACGCGCGGGGGATAAAGGACCAGAAAGTTATGGCCCTTGGAAACCACCGGGGGACCGCGCGTCTGCCATCCGCCCAAGAGCGCTCATTTTGGGGGAGGAGAACCTTGGCTTTCAGGGCTCGTAGAAAACGAACCATAAGGGCTAGAGACACGGGGTTTTCACCCACGCACTCCTCCGGTTCTGGGCTATCGCCGGGACGGGGAGTCATCCCGCTCAGACCCGGGCCTGAGCGCTCATTCCCGGGGGAAGGAAGCCCCGCTTTCCGGGCTCTTCAAAGCCGAGTCCAAGGGGGTAGAGACACGGGGGTGGGACCCAGGGACTCCCCTGGTCCCGGGCTACCCGCGGTGTGAATTTGACGCGCGGGGGACAAAGGACCAGAAAGTTATGGCCCTTGGAAACCACCGGGGGACAGCGCGCCTGCCATCCGCCCAAGAGCGCTCATTCTGGGGGAGGAGAGGACCGCAGCAGCAGGGTCAGGAGGCACGCTGCTCCATACCCCCGTGCTTACGGCCATACCACCTTGAGAATGCCCGATCTCGTCTGATCTCGGAAGCTAGGCAAGGTCAGGCCGCGGGGGCCGGCCGCGTATAGTGGGCATATCGTGCCAGCCAATCAGAATGAGCCTGTCAGCCATGTGCCTTTGTGATGAAGTCCAACCAATCAAAATGCAGGGATATTTACAGACGCAAGTTCGAAACCCGTCCCACCCCAAATAAATCAAACTTATTTAAAAGTTTAAAGTTAATAACTGGATCTCATTTTGACCTTAATAACAGCCACATTACCTTTCAAGTACATAAATGTAACTATTAGAGAGCTTCTTTGAAATGTAAAACTTGAAATGATCAGTGAATTGACAGTAGGGCTGCAACTAACGATTATTTTGATAATCGATTAATCAGGCGATTATTTTTACGACTAATCGATTAATCGGTTTATGTACTTATATTTTAGTTTTTCCAATTTTTTTCCAAGTAAATTGTTAACAAAGGGCCTTCATCATTAAACATAGACTTTTTAGAGATTTTAACCATTTTACATATTCATATCCACATCAAAAACATATCTGGAGCTGTTTATTATGTCTTTGTAATCCTTTGTTGAACTCAATGTCGACCATCAAAACAAAACACTGACCATTACATACTCTAGCAAATTTCACAAGGAGATTTCCAATAATGTTTTCACCATGAAAATCCTTATGGCTTCTGAAGTGGTTTAAAATCCCGAACAAGGCTTAATTAAGTTGATAAACTGGATAAATGGTATTTTTTTTTACATCTTTGTGCAAATTAGTTGAAAGATCAACTTTATGCCTAAAACAGTGAGTGTGGCGCCATCTTTTGCAAACAGTCAGTATTGCAGAGAGATGGTTTAAGGTGCTCACGCAGAGACGTAGTACTCCCGTGCCAGGCCAAGTCAGTAGCGCAGAGTTTACAGGTTACTCTTCTTTTTTGAAGGTTCAAAGTAAAGTGCTCCCACACTTTGGATGACTTCGTTCGATTAGGTTTGTCTTCTGCTTTTTTCCTTTTCTTTCTCGAGCTTACTCCACTGCCGCTTGCCTCCGCCATCTTGCTGTATGCTGAAGAGAAGCTGTGCGCGAAGCATGTGACATAAAAGGAGGCCAGCTATTGGCTATTCGCTACTTCTCCTGCTGTAAAACCTCTGGTGGCTCATTACTGCCACCATTTGGTCACCGCAGAGTTAAAATATGCACGAAATGAGCCGCCTACGGCAAAATAAGTTATTTAGCAACTAATCGATGACTAAATTAGTTGACAACTATTTTAATAATCGATTTTAATCGATTAAATCGATTAGTTGTTTCAGCTCTAATTGACAGTAATATTAACAGCAATGTCATGAAACCTTTTGACCTGCACAAAGTGTGAGTGTTTGAAGATCACAGAGGCTTATCCCCAAAGGCCTCACACACAGGTTAAAGGTGACTGTCACACCTCCTCAGGATGGGAAAAGTTTTGATCAAGGGATTTAGACAAACGCACCTGGAATATCCCAGAGGTGAGAACTCTGCAGGGGGTGCTTTGAACAAGTTCAACAATTGCTGCTTTGATCCCACTGACACTGAACTGAAACTCTATTTTCTATACAGATTGTTTTGTTAAA